GTTGCTGTGGCTTTTTTGCTTCTGTATCCTGGTAATTCTCTTTCCTGGTGACTGCTCCTTTGCAACTCCTCTGGTGGGGCCCCAGCATCTCCAGATGCTCCCAACCAGCCATCCCTCAGTGTTCCCATTGCAGCTGATTTCTGTCTGTGATGGTCTCTGCCTCCTTGACTTCCACCGTCCCTGTTTCGGGGTTCCCCATCCCTCATTGCTACCTCTTGTTTTCTATCCCCACGACTCAAGCTGTTTGACCTCCCTTGAGATGTCTACTTGCCGGTTTGAGCTCAGCCACCTTTTCCAGGAGGCTTGGTGAGCTGGCTTCAGTCCTCCATGGAGAGAAGCTCTCAGTTGTTTGGAATGGCTGTGGGACCCTGCACTGGAGTTCGGTAGAAAGGAGGGAATGGGGATGAGGATTCAAGTGAGGCCTGTCCCACCTTGTGTTTTCTTTCAGGTTCTGCAAGGGCACTGCTCTCCCTTCTCCTGTGCATTAATTGATCCTACTGTAAGACATAGTTGCTGCCAAAGCCACTGCTTTTCCCCCTCTTTCTTGCAAGCTCTACTGTTATCAGCTGGTGAGCACTGAGCTCTGGGTTGGCTCCTTGCCCGAGCCTTCTGGGCTCTCGTTCAGCTCCAACACATTTGAGGCCAGGTATGATGCACTCAGCAGAAACCGCAGCCGCTTCCGCGCTCGCCCAGCGGGGTCCCCAGCCGGGGCTGCTCTGGAGGTGCCTTTGGTGGCCGCTGGGCAGGTGCGGCGGCAGGGAGCGCGCCGGCCCCTCGGCTCCCTCCGGAGCGGGCTGCTGGCGCTGGGGACGGTACGTCTGGCTGGGCGAGCTCCTTGGAGAGGGAACTTGCTCAGCAGCAGGGATTTGCTGCATGGCTTCCTCTCAGGAACTGATTCAGCTCCAAGAGTTGAGAATTCACGTTCGGTTGAAACTCCAAAAATGTTTTTTTCTGAGTGCTTTCTGACCACCTGTATTCAAGCTGCAACCAGAAAATGCCCAAGCTGCAGATTATTCTTTTTACTCAGCCACTGACCTACAGGGTCTCGAGTGCTTATTTCTTGGGTGTTAGGGATGTTGGAAATTGGACACCGTGTATAAAGTGAATGCAGGTTCCTCTTGCAGGTTGCTGGGAACGATTCCCTTTACAGAGCAGGCACAGAAACAGTGGCAATCCTGTGAATAAATTCCCTGTGTAACTAAGAGTTAGAGTTGTCATTGATTGGCATCAACCGTGGAAAAATAACTAATGGATGCTGGGCACCTCCAAGTGCTGACTGAAGTGGGTTTTGGTGAGTTTTTGAGTCGGAAGCCTTGCTGCCGAATTTGAGCAAGAGTGAGGTAGCGTGCTGGGTTTGGGACGCATGTCTAGGATGGTTTGACCAAGATATTTCTCTTGGATGTGTCGCTTGGTGCACTGGTGAGAAGCTCCTACTTTTTTTTTGCATAAGCATCTGCTGGGTAGAGTTGTTTCTCTTCTGTTGCTGGTTGTTGGGATTTATGCCTCAAAATCCTGTGTGGATATTGCTTGCATGGATCAAGATCTGCTAAGGGAAAGTGTTCACGTGCTCCATGGAAAGCCGGTGTCCAGTTAAGAATTACCACAGTGCCGCCGGGTTAGGGGAGCTGTCCGAGCTGAGGTTGTCTCCTGTCCATAGGAGATGTATTGAGTGCAGGGGTCATGTTGATTTGGATCTCCCAGTGCTTCTGAGAGCAGCTTTTATCCTCCTGCACAGTCATGAAAATGAAACAACTTAATATGTCTCTTGAACCAAACTAGTGCCTGTTGTTTTCCTCCTAGGGGCTGCGTCATCGGGCCAACTTTCCACTTCAACGTGCCTGCCCTCCATTTCGGGGATGTCTCTTTTGGTGAGTACACCCTGGGCTTGGTGCACAGATTATCAAAACAGAGTATTTTGGCATGAGAGCATCTCCTGTTTGTGTTCCTCTCGGGCAGGCTTTGGGGTGTTAAAATGAGGGCGGTTGGTTGTGTGGATGATCTGCCACGAGCGCTGCGCGCGGTAGACAAAGCTCCTGAGCTGGATCCCAGACACGCTGGACTGTGTGAGCATGGGCCTCCGGCACAGCAGCGTCCAGAAGGAGTAAGAGGGACCTTGAAAGGCTTTGGGTGACGAGACGAGGACTTATCACTAGCTGGCCAGTGATTCCCACTGGTTTGCACTGTGCCGCAAAAGATTTCTGGAAGGAAAATCATGGTGGAACTTGCGCTGAGGGTCCTTCATTGCCCTTTTGAGAAAGTGGAACCTAGGGAATAGGGCAGCAGGAGAAAGGAACTTAAACCATGTACTGACCTATTGTTCTTCTGGATGAGTGTCTGTGTTGCAAGGTATGGACACCATAGCTTTACCCAGCTGCCCTTGAATATGAGCAGCTGATATGTGCTGTGAGGGCCCCTCATCATCACACACCAGGTCACCTACCCAAGCAATAGCTCTGCAGCAGGCGCCGATATCCTTGGAGGCTCCTTCCCCACTGAAAGCCGAGCTCTGCTGACAGAGCCTGTGTCTGCTCATTCACAGCGTCTCCATTGAAATGCAGATTCCGATTCTCCATCTCAGCCTCACAAAAGGCTTTTTACGGAGATGATCTAAAGTTTAAATGTGAAATCAATTGTGGATTGATTGAAGGGCCATTATCATTCTGCACCCAGGATGCCTCTGTTTTCATGCTGTTCCTGGACTTTTTAAGAAAACTCATCGCTTTTCCTGAGCCACTTCCTTCTCTCCCCATATCACCACCCGCTCTCGCTGCTTTGTTTCCTTTTGAATAAATGAAACAAGAAGAAATACCAGGCAGCCACCACCAAAAGCAAGAAATATGGTTACGTAATGCAAGTTTTATCCTATTTAATCTGATTTCTTTAATAGGGCTCATTCAGCAAAAAGAGGCAGCCTTTTGTAGGTTTTTTTTTTTTTTTCTTTAAACTGTGGTGCTATTGCCTGTGCTTGGTGACCCATGAAGTCTGTCCCTGTCCTTTGCACCTCCTGCCCTCCCGTGACTTTGCTGGAGGTAGCACTCATTACTGTTGATAGTCAAGGGTAAATTGCATGCTGCATCCCTGGCTGCTTTTTTATATGTTTGTATATTTTCCTCACTATCTGTATTCATTTAACATTTTGTAACCAGGCTGGCTTCTAAGCTAGCATCAGACTTGCCACCTGAAGTGGGCTACAAGTCCTCTCAGTTTGTTGGCTCCAAAATGGGTCATGCCTTATGGATTCAACGTAGCCTCCAGCTATTCCTCCAGAAGGGCCCAGGTGTCCTGGGAGCTCTGTTTTACTTCCCAGCCCCACACATCCATGCTTATGACACGTCTGAGATGCCACTCGCTGCCTAGGTGGGAACAACTGCCCCAACCCTGTCAAGTACAGGTGGTTCTTCGCTCTGTGTTACGGAGGAATAGCAACAATTTCCTGAACAGCTCAAGACAGAAAATGTTTTAAGTCTCTGCTGGGATCTGAAAACTTGTGATTGGGGTGGTGTTTGCTGCGCCAGCTCGGGCTGCAGGGACACCAGGCGGGCAGGACGTTGTGTCTGAGGAAGGGCTCATCCCCGGGAGCTGCGAGCAGACCTTGGAAAGGTAGAGAGGAACACGGGTGATCGGAGGGAGGGGGTGACTAGAGAACATCTGCTCTCAGTCACCGTTGGAGCGAGGGGCTGTTGGTCTGACCTGCTGGGCTGCTCTTGTGATCGAGTTGTTCTTTGCTGGGCGCTGAGATCTTCCCTGACAGTAGCAGCTCCTCTCCTTGTACTTTATAGGCCAATGTTGGTGCCTACAGCTAGTCCAACTGTGGTGGCATTAGTGTGGGGAGGGGGGGACGTTTGATGAGGCTTGAGCTAGCATTTCTAATTACTCTGCTTGAATATTATAAACCTCAATTTGCATTGAAGAGGAAACCTCAATTTGCATTGAAGAGGAAACACTGGGAGTGTTGCAGTGATTAACCAGGGGAACCTTCTGCCTGGGGTGCTGGCAGAGCACAACGAAGCCTGTGCAATGAGGATATTACACACGCAAGGTCGCCAAGAGGCAGCAGCGTGGCCGCACAGGCACAACCGCTCAGCAGAAACAGCCTCCGGGTTCACATGGTCTTGGCAGTTTCGGTGGGTAGCAGAAAGATGGTTTCACATCATTGATTGTACTGAGCCCAAATGATCTTATGCTTGTCACTAATTTGATTGGAATTTGAGTTTCGTGACAGGGTCAGAAGAAGCTGGCTTAAAGGCTGTTTTGTATATTGCTATGTAAATGGCAATAGTTCCCGGTTTCATCTTCAGTGCAGATTCTACCCAGTTTCAATACACTGCTTTTCTATATTCAAAAATGTGTGCCTGATGGTTAAGATTGTATTCAGCTTGAGCAAGAGTGGCAGAACTTGGGTTTTATTGGCTGAGTGTTTAGAATAAACCTATTATCGCCTTTTTGGATGTACATGAGTGCTCAGACAGGAGTAATAACTGGTGCTGGTTTTGGGGAGGGAAGGGAGGGCTCCTCACAGTTAAAGAAATAGAAGAACCTTTCGTGCTCTCTAAGACATCACCAAGATGAATTGAGTGTTTCTGAGGAAGCAATCTCTGTGATCAGTGGAAAAGGAAACCAAGCAAAGATTAATTACTTGCCTAGCTTCTCAATTAGTTATAATTCAGATTGAAATCTGCCCAAGGTTCATCGTAATAGAATATTCACACGAGGAATCAAGGTTAGGTCATGCGTAAACTCACACGTGTGTCATTTTTCTTAGGCTTTCCGTGCACCTTGTCCTGCTGCCTCAATAACACATCCTTGGTGCCCATGTCTTTCACCCTTCGCATCCCCGGAGATGGCCCTGGAGAGCCCAGCATTACCAGTTGTGTTCAGATCTTGGATGACACCAGGCCATCCTGGAGAAGGGGAGTTCGAGGTCACGCCAAGCCAACAGAATTTACCATCACACCTTGCACAGGAACCATCCGCTCCCAGGGCCTCGTGGACATCCAGGTATGGGCCAGCCCACCTACCCAT